TTGAATGTGAAAGGAAATAATTTACCAAGCGAGGTTTGGAAGATATTGTTGTATGATAAAGCGAAGACTAGTCTTGGCCATGAAATTTTAATATTCAATGTTTTTTTAAATGTGAGTTCCAACCCAAATAGTTAAGGATAAGAATTGCATTAAAGAGTATATTTGTCATGCCTGCTTAGGTGCCAATAGCAAGTGGTTTGTATTTGTATTTCCTTGACCTTCATGTGTTCGGATTCCACTATCTTGGAATGACCTTATCAACGTTAAAAATCAGTCCTCGATGTGAACCGATTGGAGTAAAGCATGTCAGTAAGAAAGTTCCGAATAAAAGTAAATTTTATTTTAGATCACTCGCCAAATTATCTACTAGCACCTAAGAGATCAATCTACAAATGGCACCTCCCTAAGCTTTATTCATACGGTTAGCCAGTTCGAAAATCACTCAAGACAAAAGTATGTTGGCATCCAAGCAAGAGTAAAAACTTTTCCGAATGGAAACTTCCGAAGATGGGCCTAGCCTAAGATACAATGCTTAAAGAAAATACGAGCGTAATAATAAATTAGCGTAAAGCACCAAACATAACAAACGCACTTTAATGAGCATTCTATAATTAAGGATAGCAAAGAAAATCAACAAGAGAACTAGGTGTACTGCACGGATACTGCATAGAAAATTTTAATAGTAACTTGACAAGCTTTAGAAGATAGGTATCAACTTTATAAAATTTGTAGAAACATCTTCATAAGTTGTATATCCTTTCGATGTATATTGCTCTAGTCAAAAGATAGGTAACAAAATCACAAAACGGAAGAAAATACTGAATCTAATATCTTTTGTCCACGTGAAATAATGCAAAGTTGGGTAAAAAATCTAACAAGCATACGTCAAATTGATGCTTATTATTAATGTTAATAGATGAGAAGACAAATCTATAATGAACCTGACCTCTTTTTATTACAATATATTTACAAGAAGTTTCGGTGAGTAATGTTTGAAACAAGAAAAAATTCAGGTAACTGAGGTTTGAAAAGGATTCAAATGGAAGGCTTCAGCAAGAAGGGATATCAAAGAAAATCTTGACACCGTTTTAGAATGAAATAAAAAAATAAAAGCCGGAGGCTTGTAAGGAAGCATTTAACTATGTAGTGAAATAAGATTGAAAAAATCAAAGCGATCCTAAAAGGATGCATATATATGTATATATATTTGTTTGTTTAAATGAAAGAGAGGATAAATACATCTATCCATAATAATGAGCTGATCTAAAAGGATAAAAAAGGTTGCCTCATTATCTGGGTGTAGTAATGCCTTTAATAATTGCCTAAGTTGAAAAGGCAAGAAAATATTATAGAAACAAAATTAATTTAGCATTATGCACTTGTTTCCATACGAAAAAATATATATCCATGCAGCTGTCTCATTATTAACAAAATGCCCTGAATATCCATTGTGCAAATTAGAGAACTCGGGTGCAAAAGATGGCTCCTGTAGGGTGTTGTATACAAATAAATGTCATAGTATAACTCTAAATCTTAAATGGTATTTAAGAGTATAAGTGGCCGGTCATGAATAGTGTGCTATGAACAAATGGAAGGTTTTATATCTGAGATGAACGAACTGGGTGAGGAAGAAGGTATGAAAGATAAAATGAGGATTATAGGGTTGAGGAAACAAACATCGTGAAATCAAATAGAATAGATGAACGTAAATAAGTGTATGCATACATACAAACAACAAAGGCAATTGCATAGTTAAAAATAGGTAATGAAAAAATTAATGAGAAAAGACGTGAGATTTCCTTGGTACAAAAAAGCTAAAAAAAGTTGTTCAAATTGAAAATTTATGGTGATGAACAAATTGTGGTTGTCAACAATATTAAGAAGTAATAATTGCACAAGAGACAGTTAGCATATGGCTGAATATGGAAGGTACGAGTGATATTGAAATGTCAAGTAATGAAAATTTATAGCAAACGAAAGTGGGACACTAACATCAAGGAAAGAACAAAGGATCGAAGAATATAGACCAAAGAATGCAAACTAACATGACTACAAATGAGGGAACAACAACACCAAACGCACAAGATAGTGGTACAGGAGGAAGCAAGAAAAGACAAAAAAGAGAAAGAAACAATGGAAGAAAGACGAAGGAAATAAAAGAAAACGGAAGGCAAGGACAATAGCTCAGTTTGAGTGCGTAGTCTGAACAGGCAGCAAATTGAGGACATCAGGAGACTCCTGGCGATAGCACTTGATTTTTTCACACTGCCCAGTAGAATAGTCCATTAGTAAAAATGTGTCAGCAGCCACATCAATGGTCTGGCCAGTGCGAGAATCGAGAACGCGCTCTCGGTACTCACTCAACCTAATACGCATAGTGCTGCTATTGCTGCTACTACCAGGCCCACCTCCAGGGGCAGCGGTAGGTGGATTACCTAAAAAACAAACGAAACAATACAAACTGGTTAGAGCTTGGTGTAATATAATAAATAGTATAATCGTCGGAATACATACTTGGATAATTTTATGAACACCTTCATAATATAATAAATAATGCGATCAATTGCTCGACAGCAGTCTATATCAACTATGATGTGAAACAACATCAATAAAAACATCTCAGCATGTCTTAAAAGGCGTGGGAGGAATTAATTGAGTTGATTAAAGCACAAAAAGGCCTTCGAAGGATTATCAATTTAATAATATCAGGCTGTTGCTCTACAAAATAACAATGTACAAGATCACATAAAGAAGGAAAATGGCAGAACATTATTGAGCATAATATGCGACTGTTCTTGAAGATTTATGAAACACTTACTCGATTCACATGCTCAAAGTCTAAATTAGATGAATAGATTTTAAACAGTGCTACGATAAATGAAGACATGGAAATGAAGATCGCGTAAGAAGTATTTAGGTTACTGCAACCTTTCTATGCTTATAAATGGTCTGCCCGCTCACCCGGAACATTCGGGGACGTTTAGACAACCCCACTAGTAAGCTTGGCAATCAGAACAATGAGCTACAACTCGTCAGACAGATTAAGTCCATTCTTTGACTAGCATTTTGCTGAACAAAACTTTTAGCAACACTAGATCGCATAAGATGACTAATCAAATTAACCCATAATAAAACGAGTAGGCCTACCAATATCATAGAATTTCACTAAGCCTTGTTTCTAAAGATTTCCTCGGTTAAGGAGCGATTCAAAATTCCTCACAATAAAGCAAAATAAAAGACCTAAGGTGATTACATTTTGAAAATAGTAGCGCAGTACCCAAAGCCCGCTTAAAGCGATTTAAGTACTGATAAATAATCTTTCCTGCAATAAGATTAGTAGAATGTCATTGAATTTCCCTTAGCCATGCCTCGGAAAAGGCTATCTCATCTGCCGTTTCGACATCGTCTTATAGCCTCTCATAAAAAACTACTAAAGGGATTAGATCCCTCTTGGCAAATAACGCGGCGGCATTACCACCCGATTACACAGCCACAGGTTCCACTTGGTCGCAGGGCAGATATAACATTCAAGGTAAGCCAAGTTTCTCGTAAATCGCGTTAGAGAAGTGCACTCATTTTCCCCCTCTCCACCTATCCACTATTAACGTATTGTTGCAGTCAACTCTTTAATCTCGACTTGGGCGTTTCTTGAGGGTTTTCTTTATTTCTTCTCGGATAATACTTTTGGTGTTAAAGTAGAAGCAATGAAATCAATGATAATAATGAATTTACGTCTAGCTGATGTAAATCATCTAGAACAGAAGTTAGAAAGGCTGATAAAAATCTTGGTTGAGAATTATTATTCCGTTAGTATTAATTGCTAAAAATTTCATAACACTAAGAAATGGGGAAAAACGAAACCATTATTTGAGACAAAACAAAGAATTATACAACTTTTTGTCCAGTTTCTTAATGCTACCATCCTGCAAGGTTTCAATAAATAATAGCGAATTACTGAGCAAATGGAGCGCCAAGACAACACATAAAGAAACAATAACGCTTCCCTTGATAATGCTTTATTTTAGAGAATCTTCAGACGCCATCTGCAAATCAGGTTGTCTAAGGTTTAGTGCTCATGTGGTAGTGTTTATGATGGGGAAACTTGACGACCCATACACAAGAAGAATGAATGTAAAAAACTAAGTAAGAACTGTATCTGGCTGCTAAATAGAATGAGAGAGAGAGGGGAGTGAGAGGAAGCAAGGAAAGGGAAGAGGAAAAGCCACTAATTAAGAGAGGACTTGACTAAGTTGGAGTATGTTTTGCGACCTGTTCTAGTTTATTTAAATATACAAAAGTAGTGACATCACTTTAACCCACTTACGTAAATGTAGGTCAATCACAAAACAGCCAAGCAAATCATGGAATGCCTTATTAGGATCGCAAAGTGAGGTATAAGAAGTGATTATGATCTCAGCTGGCAAATTTTCTTGGTTTAGTGTTCTTTGATGATTTTTCGTTAATAATGGTTTTTCGCTCTGACAATGTCTGCAAATAAGATGGTCTTTTGGATAGTAAAGCTAGGTGAAGGTCATAGACCACCTGAGACCTACTCATCAAATTTTGGATAAACTCAACTATCAGTCCCTAATTCATCTAGTATTACCCCAGAAATAAGAAGTGTAGCAGGCTAGTTAAATACCAATACCTGGAAAA